TGACTGGTGGGGTCTGCAACCTGCCCCTTCTGCTGGACCGAGTGGGGCGGGCTGAAATGACGGGGGTGAGGCAGTTCCTCAGATAATCTGGTCCTGTGCCAGGTTTTATTTTCTATAATGCCTGGGGGCTTCTGTGGGACAGATGTTATCATCCTATTTATTGTGGGGGGGGCTAATGGAATTCTGGCATCAGCAGAAAGCTACAGACCCTGCCTTGGTGCCACTGGACAATTAGCAACAGACTGATTTCCACTGATTCTTGGTGGGAAGGGATAGTAGGGCTGAAAAGATTAAAGCAAGCTGACTATTGCATCTGGAAAGGTAGGAAACAGGCTGGAAATTTTGCCCTGTTCCTCTTCAGCAAAATAACAACAATACAGGTCCCAGTCATCAGAAAGGGGGCTGCAGTGACCTTGGAGCATAGGCTGCTTTGCAGAAAGGAAAGCTGGGGTAGAATAGTCACTGGTGGAGGAGTTTTTATCCCAGATATTTTATGAATGACAGTTGCCTTTGCCACCGGCCTACACGTTCTATCACCTTGTTACTTGGCAAAGCCAATTTTAGCTGGAAATGCAGCTTCTCATCCTTGTATTTCACCCTGATTCTCCTAAAAAATTTGTAACGACCGCAGAAAAAAAGTTTTAATTTGGTAGCTTTAGAGATGGCCTGCTGACTTTCTAGGTTGACTTCTTTGAACATATCCTTCATTTATTTCTCACTGCCTCAATCCAAGAATGCAAGAGGGGGTTCAGGAGGCATACATTGCGTAAAATGGCCTCTAGACTCCCCCAGTCCAAAAGACAGTCTGTTTACTTACCTGAAACAGAATGCAGGTAGTCCTCCTTTAGTGACTGCCTCATTTTGTGACCATTATGTCAGTGATGAAAAAGTAACCTTGCGATGAATTCTTGCATTTACGACCTTCACCAGTCTGTAAAGCAAAGGGCAACTGAAGTCAAATTGCAAGCACAGTAGCAGTTTCACTGAGCGACCACTTCTCTTAACAACCAAGTTGCCGGTCCCAATTGTGGTTGCTAAATGAGGACCACCTGTAAGTAAAGCTGCTTGTATCAGAAAAATACATGGAATTGGCTTGGATGCCCACAGAGATGTACACCATTGATCTCCTTTTCGTCTTTCCCACCATATGTAATTTGTTGTGGATATTTTGTTTTGTGGAGTATGTTATGTTCCCTTTTTGGGACTGGGTGAATCAGAAGTTAAAATAAAAGTTTGAAGGGGAAGGAAGGTGGAGAAAAACCCATGGAGACATGTGAGGTTCTTTCAGAGAGGGGTTTAGCCATCTACAAACAAATCACAGTTCACTGATTACTTGATGGTGATTGTCTGACCTTGTCTGAATATTCAAGTTAGTGAATATGTTCACTGTGTTTGAACTGGAACATTCTGAATGACAGGCAGCAGTAAAGCAAAATGAATTGTGTGCTCTTTTAATGCTGCATTTTTTAAAAGAGTTCTGGTTCCCCTTCCATCTTTAACCTTGTTAAAGCAAGGCTGGAGAGGGGGGAATAGTCTGAGGTCACTCCAGAAAGGTCCATGGCTGAATGAAGATTTGAAGCTGGGTTTCCCTAGATTTCACCTGATCCTCTGATCAGTCTAGGAGCAGCAGTGTTTATCTGAGAGAGGAGGGAAGTCAAGAAAGTCAAGATGATGGCCATGATTAGATGATTGAACAGACCATTTTGATTGCTCCTGAAATGATCCAACTTGAAAACACACTGCTGGAACACTCATAAGCCTATTTTATATATGCTTGGGATACCAAGGTGGACACAGATGGTGTGGCTAAAAGCAAATTGGAAGAATTAAATTTTATTACTGTTGACACCAGCTGGTTATTCCCTGTCCACCCCCAATCAGTGCACTTTCATTGATTTTTAGCTAAAGAGGGTTTGAGTCATAAAACACATTTAGGTTCCTGCCATGGGAGAACCATATGAGTGTGTGCCAAGAGTTTGGCATGTGTTACATATGTCTACTGTTCACACATGTGTGTCCAGACAGACTTGGGAACAAGTGGTGGTTTTTCAGAAGCATTGTGTGTACACACACAACAAGCTTCATGCAGTCTGCTCTAACCAAGTGGGGAACTCTAATTTGGAGTGTAATAGCTCAAACAGCTGCAAGTGTAACATTCCAAGCTTTTTTTTTTAACACGTGTAACACAAGAAAAATCAGTTGGTTGAAATACCTGGTATTTCATACTATTTCTAATATTTGTAGGAAAGGGGAAGGTCTTTGCTTAACCATTATGATTGGTCTCAAAATCAGCGGCTCTGGTTTTGATGCCCCCACCCCATTTTAGGCACCTCTAAAAAAAATCCAAACTCACCAGTTGTGCCATGTGATTTCAATGGATGATGTTTGAGTTAGACTCCGTAGGTGTTGTCTCAGGGAAGAACACTTTTGGCTTGGATATAAAAGATGGTGAGATCTCTGGGCGATCAAGGCGGTTCAAGGGAAGAAATTTTGTGGGTGAGGAGGTGCATCAGAGGGAGAGCAGAAATAATGTGTAGAGGTATTGCAAAGTCTGCTGATGGTGTTCCTTTCATCCTTGAGTTAATTGTAAATGTGGGCTAAAATCTGCTAACGTGCTGGCTATGTTCATACAACATACGTAACCCACCCCTTCTATTTGTGCAACATACTAAGCTGGGTTAATTTTTTTGCAGCTTGGTCCATTGTGAGAAGCCAACTCTTTTCGTTCATTTCTACCTCAGTGTCTTGTGCAAATCCCAGAAAAGAGATTAACATAGTACCAGGGTAAATGTGTGGGGGGAACACAGCAGAAGGAGAGGCACTCTTGCCCAGTTTGAAGGTTGTTCTGGGGTTCTGATTAAGACGGTCTGAAGTGTCAGCCATTCTCCTCAAGGTGGTGCAGAACAAAATGGGCCTTTCCTTTGATCCTGTGGGTGGAAAGGATGGGGCTGCATTCCCATGGGCATCCCATAGAAGTCAGGGTGATGTTGCATGTATCAAGAGGTCAGTGGGCCAATGATGCAAGTCCGGCACTGTGCATGCAGGAGTAATGAAGGTGCCCAAAGGATTGGCCAGTCAGTTGGCCAGTAACGGGTCAGTGCCCTTTTCCCTGCCAAGGCTAGGTCATGGCTAGATTCTTTTGCCATCTGGCCCGTGCCTTGGCACTAAAGGGGTTTGCCCATGCCCTGGGAGCAGCTTCTGTTTCGTCAGTGGAGCATTGCCCTCTTTCACCGCCAAAGGAAGGACAGGGCACTCGGCTCAGGCTCTGAGACGCCTGTCTGGCCCTCACAGCCTCCCGCCGTTCCATCCTGGCCCAAAATGGACCCATGAGCTAAGGGAGCTGAAGGTAGAAGGCAAAAAGCCATTTGGGGACAAGAAGGGCATCCCCTACTTGCTTCATATTGTACTTTTCCCCAACTCATTTCAGTTCCAGGGCCAGTTCCTGATCACAGAAGAAAGATTTGTTTGTCCTGTCCGGCATGGAGCAGTTTAAAATACAAAAAGCAGTGCAACCTGCACGATCTAATCAAGCCTTGATGGACACATAAGAAAATTTGGGTGCAGGTGAAAGAAACTTGGAGATCTGAAGACTTAACATGGAGTGAAATATTTGTATTTTAGATCTTGTTCCACATTGCTCCAAGGAGCTCAAGAGGTTCTGTGTTTTACCACCCAACAGCCTCATCAGGCTGTGCGAGAGAGGGAGAGCATTGACCCAATGCTTCACTGCAGGCTTTTATGGGAGGAAAAGGACTCACATATGGATGTGGGCATTAATTAGTGCAAGAGATGTTTCCTCTCTGAAATGATGTGACCGTTAATTCGTCCTGTCTCTGCTGTGCTTTATTCAGAAAGCCGAGAAGCTGGAAAGGCCTGTCCTTTGCCTTCTCAAGTGGATATTTGATAGCTAATTCCCTGATCCTTGAACAATGTTGGGTCAAACTGCTGCTGCTGCTGCTGCTGCTGCTGCTGCTGCTGCTGCTGCTGCTGCTGCTGCTGCTGCTGCTGCTAGCGTTAAAAGAGGGT